ATTTTATTATTAAATCTAAATTAAATAAAAATAAAAATTAGAATTAAAAAAATTACACAAAAAAATAAAACTTTTAAATATTTAATTTGATACAAGATCGATATATATTTTTTTAAAATTTTTATGATATCTTCAAATTTATATTTTACTCAAAAAAATAAAAACAATATCTTTTTTCGGTACCACATAAAATTGTATTATAACATCCACAGAAACAAAATAAAATGAAACATTAAAATCGAGATGAATCTTGCTACATTGCGCGAGTACCCTTCTAATATATATATATATATATATATCTATATATATATATATATATTCCAATTTTATTTAATAAATGAAAAGACCAAGTCACCCTTTTTGTATATAACAAACGATTTTTCAAAACAAGATTAAATACATTTATGACGTTAGATTTTACATGGTCAATAAATTGAAAGATTTAATAGAAATACATATATATGATTTTTTTTAAGGTTAGAAGAGTATTCGCGCAATGCAGGAAGACACATCTCGATTTTAATGTTCTATTTTATTATTTGTCTATGTCGATGTTATAATACGATTTTATATGTTTTTAAGAAAGCAATAACGGTTTTATTTTTGAATAAAATACAAATTTGAAAAAATAATATCAATACTAATATCAAATCAACTATTTAAAAGTTTTCATTTTTTTATGTAATTTCTTTCATTTATTTTTTTATTATAATTTAATTTAAGTTTAATAATGAGATAATCTATTTTTGGTTTAATAATATAACATTTTACAAAAATAATAATTAAGTATTATGTTAGAACTCAATAATTATCCTATTTATATTTTAGATTTTTTATATTTAAAATGAGATGTTTATTTTGTATTTGATTATATTTATCTACAGTTAGTTACACAAATTAAGATATAAAGTTTTAATAAGTTGTACTTACGCATACTCTACTTGTTATCTTCAGTTTTAAGTAATATGCATTAATAAACAATACTTTACGTATGAAAAGTGATTTTTAAAAGTTTTTGTCAAATGCTTTGTAATATAGTATAGATTGGTTTTTGAACCAACCCATATATATATCTATACTATCTTATAAAGCATTTGGCTAAAACTCTTAAAACTCTTAAACTCGTTCATCCCTAAACGATTTCATCCCTATCCGATTTCATCTCATATCTGAATTCGTGTAACTAACTGCAGATAAACACAATCAAATACAGGATAAACATCTAATTTTAAATATAAAAAATCTAAAATATAATTAGTATAATCATTAAATTCTAACAGAATACTTAATTATTATCTTTATAAAATTTATAATATTAAACCAAAAATAAATTTGTTTTATTATTAAACTTAAACTAAATTATATAAA